CTGCATCAGTTTTCCTATCCATTGCTCTTTTTCCCCTGTTTTACAACCGATGATCTGACCAACTGACCAACTGTCTCCTATAAATTCTCCCAGATTAAACCCAATCTCTGCACCTTCAGACCCTAAATCAGCCCTCATTCCTGCATCTTCACACCTCAGATCACACCAATTTCTGCACCTTTATCCCTCAGATCACCCCAATACCTGCATCTTCACACCTTAGATTAGCCCAATTCACACCTCCGTTCACCCCAAATCCTGCACTTTTGCACCCCAGATTAGGCCCAAGTCCTGTTTATTCAGGCCTTGGATCAGCTCCAGTTTCTGCACTTTCAAACCCCTGGAAAACCCCAATTCCTTCATCTCCACATTTCAGATTGGCTCCAATTCCTGCACTTTCACACCTCAGATCAGCTCCAATTCCTGCACCTCTAAACCTAAGGTCAGCTCCAATTCCTGCATCTCCAAGCCTCAGATCAGCTCCAATTCCTGCATCTCCAAGCCTCAGATCAGCTCCAATTCCTGCATCTCCAAGCCTCAGATCAGCTCCAATTCCTGCATCTCCAAGCCTCAGATCAGCTCCAATTCCTGCATCTCCAAGCCTCAGATCAGCTCCAATTCCTGCATCTCCAAGCCTCAGATCAGCTCCAATTGCTGCACCTCTAGACCTCAGATCAGCTCCAATTCCTGCATCTCCAAGCCTCTGATCAGCGCCAATTTCTGCAATTTCACATCTCCGCTCACACACGAATGCCTAAACCTTCACTCATCAGATCACCCCAATGTCTGTACTTTTGGATGCTGAGGGAGAGAAATGTTCGGAGGGAGGGCAGGTACACTGATCGTAAAAGCCTGGCCGTGAACTGGCTCAGGCTAAAGAAGTGTGCTATACCGTAGAGGAATATTGAATATAATTACCCTTTTCAAAGTGAGAACAAGCAACCTGGGGAATCTGACTCGACACAGCCTCAGTGTGGAGAAAGCAATGTAGGAACCGAAATAAGGGGGAATAGTGTGGGGTGGGCACCAGCCACTGGCCAGCTTTATTGTTTGGGAGATGGGTCTCCCAGGACTTCCCTTGGGTGCCAGCCTTGATGCTGTTGCATGCCACCTCCAACATTATAAAGCCTACCCCTGCTTTATAATATAAAATACAAGCTGTACATTTTAATCATCACTGCCAGTGGGTAACTGGATGATCTCATTCATGTAAACTAATACATTTTCCTGAAGAGCTTGAACATCTGAAAACAACAGAGTTTATCTAATTCACAGCTGAAAAAAGAAAGCTTAAATAAGGGAAACTAATATAGACATCACATTTAAGAACTGGTAAGCTGCAATATAATCTTTGCTTTTAGATTTAACCACTTGCCCTCCAGAGGATTTACCCCCCTTCCTGACCGGGCCATTTTTTGCGTCATGGCGCTGCATTAATTTAACTGACAATTGTGCAGTCATGCACCGCTGCACCCTAATGAAATTTTCGTCCTTTTCCCCCCACGAATAGAGCTTTCTTTTGGTGGTATTTCATCGCCTGTGCGGTTTTTGACGTTTTGCTATTAAACATGTCTAGTTAAAAAAAAATTTTAAAAATCAAATTTCATCATAAATTGAGGCCAAATGTATTCTGTTCTGCTACAAGTTTTTGCTAAAAAAAAAAAAAAAAAAATCACAATACATGTAAATTAATTAGTTTACGTGAAAGTTATAGCGTTTACAAATGGCAATATGTGTGTGTGTGTGTGTGTGTGTGTGTGTGTGTGTATATATATATATATATATATATATATATATATATATATATATATATATATAATGTGTGTGTGTGTATTATATACAAATGGCAATGTGTGTGTGTATATGTATGTATATATATGTGTGTGTATGTGTATATGTGTATATATATATATATATATTATTGGGATTTTTTTTTTTTCACTAGTAATGTCAGCGATCAGCAACTTTATAGCGGGACTGTGGCAGGTATTCTGACACTGGGAGGAACTGACTTGGTGTCACTGACATCCCCAGTGACACCAATACAGTGATCAGTGCTAATAAAAAGCACTGACACTGTACTAATGGCACTGGGCAGGAAGGGGTTAACATGGGACAATCAAAGGGTTACCTATGTGCTGTGTTAGTGCTTTCAACTGTAAGCACGCTGCTTTGTATGCTATGCAGAGCCATACAAAGCAGTGTGCAGGAGCTGACGGGAGAGAACTGTATTGTTTACTTACAGTTCTTTCCCTCTGTCGGTAATGCTCGGCGATCACCGGCCGCCGTAGAGTTATCACCGGCCGGGACCTGGTGATTGACAGCCGAGGCCACTACCCGGAAACATGTATATATATACGTGTTTGTGCACCCCTGCTGCCCTGTAGCAGTATATCTGCTATAGGGCGGCGGGAAAGTGGTTAATACTACCTTAAATCAACTTTTGAGTTTTATTGTTTGTTTAGGTAAAGCAGTGCTTATTTACCAGTAACCATGGTTTCATTTTATAAAGTTCCTGTGGTACACAGTATTAAAGGATAAGTTCATCATTTTGAAAAAAATAATAAATGCATTTTTTTTTTTGGCAGGTATAAAAATGCATTTATTTTTCTAAGGAGCCTGCAGAGCATTGCACCCGTAATCAGCAGATCACAATTGCCGAGTCGTATGGGCAGACTACTTGAGAGCAGGAAAAATCAATGAACTACCAGAGCACTCACCAGTACCCTCATAGTTCATTGAGAATGGTGCAGGTGAACACACATTTGCAACTTGCATTTGGGGTGTTGTTAACTTAACACTGACAGCTACTGCTGATCACAACCGCAGGGCATTTTGAACACGGAGCATGGAATGTGGGTTTCCTGCACTGTGTTCTAGTGCAAACTTAGCCTCAAAAAGTGTCCTTCATGGTTTTCGGTTAACACATGCATTCTTGACTTGAAGTCCTCATGTACCCTGGACGCTTTGATAACGCAGGTAACGTTCGCTGTGAAAAGTCATGTGAGTGTTTCAGCTTTTTTTTTTTTTTTTTTAGTGTTTTTTGCATTAGTGTTTTGCAGCGTTTAGCAGTATTTTCCCTCACTTTTCTGCATGTTTGCGTTTTTTTTTTTTTTTTTTTTTGTAAAAAAAAAAAAATCCAAAAATGCCGGTATGCAGCGTTTTACCGTGTTTTTTAGCATTAGAGCGTTTTTACAGCTAAAAAACTCCACTAGAAACCCACTAGTCCTGGGTTTTTGCCCCAGCCAAAAACCATTGATTGCAATCTGTGTGCAGGGACACATAGAATAACATGCTGGGGGGTTTACTGGCTGTAGAAAAAAAGTCAAAAGCCAAAAACAGCAGCTGTAAAAACATCAAGTATGCATGAGGACAAAAGCTTTAACAAACAAACTGAAATATCTCAGCAAGTTAGAGGCTCATTCACACAGGTGCTCAGCCCCATACAGTGTGAAGAGACCATTTTTTACTCTTCTGTCCTTGTGCTGAGCCCCGTGTAGGCAGTCCATATTAGTGAATGGATACACTTGGGCTGTATGGACTCGCCCGCACAGCCGAGTTTGACAGGTACGCAGGAATAGCTGCACGGCCTTGGTTGCACAGGCTCTATGTCGGGGGTTCATGCACCTGTCAAAGGATGCTGTATGGGGCTGAGCTCCCGTGTGAATGAGCCCTAAAATGACGTGAAGAAATGGTTAATGAGCCCATAATACAAATATAACACACAAAGCACAAGTTTGCAAATTAGAAGCAAATGGAGCTGGGCTGAGGCGGCAGTATCTCCTCATACTTTACATATGTCAAAATTCAACCATACCTCCCTCAATGGAACAGATGGGCTACAGCTGTTCTGTCTCACAAAGGAAAACACATCATTACAGACCAACATGGATAAAAAATATACAATGTTTTTATTTGTGTGTGTGGAAAATCTGACTAGAGAAACATATGACGTGTTTGAGTACTTGTGTAAAAATCGGGAACAGCAGTCAGAAAGCGTTATTTCATGGAGAAGTGTTGGAAGGTCCTTCTTGTAGGAGTACAATGTGTAAAGGACATGTCGGTTTTGTGAAGGATTAGCCTGTTGATGATTGTTGGATAGCCATGATCTGCTTTCTTGTGTATGACCTATATTCACTTGTCAGCAGCATGTCCTTTACTATGTGAGCCTCCTCACATTTCTACAGATGCCTACTAATCATGTCAGCTGGAGGTTTATTCCCTGAGTCATAAATCTTGTTAATCAAAATGTCAGCGTAGAAGACGTATGGCTCTTACAATATCAGGTGTGTTCCTTTTTAGCTCCCACTTAATAATCACCAGTACAAAGCATCTGGATATAGAATCCGTAGTATTTTCTTTGGCTTACAGTGGGTGTGTATGTCTTCACAGTGGGGGACATTTATGATTCTCGTCTCATTCTTTGCGTTCAGTAAACATTTGCTATGTACGATTCAGTGTCAGTGCACTATTTTTCCTGGCAATTCTTTACAGGAATCGGTCATTGAAAAGAGCCTTAATAGTCACATCATGTAAAGATGTAGCTGCTGTAATTTTGCCATTCCAACACATATCGCAAAGTGTGGAGTTCAGATTGTTTGGGTCAGCCTGGACCTAAATCTCTGAATGGTATATTAGAATACTGTCTGTAGGGGACATGGCCTGGAGGGAAAGAATAATGCAGGGGTTGGGGTTGAAACAGCAGGACTGGAGCAGAGCAGCCTGACTGAGAAGGGAATGACGGCCTGGAGAAGAGCAGTATTATGGGAGGGGAGGGGGGTGTTGAAATGGCCAGGGAGAACAACAGCAGAAATGTTTGGTACCTTTTGCACCACTAAATTGAAAAGTAATCAGGAGATATTCTTAGCTGTGTGACAACTTTTGTGGGGTTGATTTACTAAAGGCAAATAGACCAGGGCTTAAAATTTCAACTCCTGAGCTACTAGCCAGGCCTTAGATTTACTCGCCACTAACAAACACATACACAGACATGTACACACACGCACAGACACACATGTACACACACACATACAGAGACATGTATACACACACAGGCACGCATAAACACAGATACATGTACATACATACACAGACACATGTACAGGCACATGTACGTACATACACACACGTACATGCGCGCGCGCGCGCACACACACACACACGTACACATACATGTACACACACGTACAATTGTACATGCATACACAGACACACACACGTGCACAGACGCACACACCCCATAAAAAGTTGCAGTACTTCATTGTTCACTCACAGAGCTGGGTACTGCACTCTAGGGGGAGGCAGAGAGCACAGCACACACTCTTTGCTTTGCTTTCACTGCACTCAGCTATTGAGCAGTCTGACGGCTCCCAGTGCCAATGACAGATCTGGCCTGAGCTCCGAGCCTGCTCAGCAGGATGGCCCTGGGGGGCACACTCACCCCCACCATAATTTCCACTCGCCATTGGCGAGCAGGCGAGTGGAAATTTCAAACTGTGGAATAGACTGTGCACTTCTATTAATTTTCCTTGGAGCTTAGTAAATGCGGTGATGCTTCACTTTGTAAAGGATCCCCAAAGAGGTGCAAACCCCCTCCCCCCCAAAAAAAAAAAAAACGCATTCTGCTTACTTTTCACTTTTTTGGAAGTTGCTAACCTAACGTTTATTTTATTTTATTTTTTTTTTTATATCAGGATGTTGCTTGTTAAGTGTGTGTAATTTTTGTTTTTGCCTTGCTTATTACTTTTTTATTAAAAAGTGTGCTAATTTTTCATTTTCTCAGTGTGCCGTGATTTTGCAGTGCTGGAAGATCACAGTCTTGCACATACCTTGCAGGAGCAAGAAAGTAAGTAATAAGTTGATGAATGTGGTGTAGTTGTGGGTCTGGCATTTGTTAGAGTAGACCCAGTTTTTACAATTATATTTTTTTTCGTAGTTGAACATCATTTAGCTACAAATATCCAGAGGAACCGTCTGGTCAAACATGATCTGCAGGTGGCCAAACAACTTCAGGAAGAAGAGGACCTCATAGCACAAGCCCAGAATAAGCACCGTCACAATGAACTGTGAGTACTTCCTAGAGCCCTCTGTCGACATGCTAGAAATGACTATGTTGAAGACTTGCTGCAATTGCTTTCATCCAATTTTATTTTTTTTATGTTTTCAGGCTTAATAAAGAGAAACCTTTCCCACAACCTTGAAAACAATTTCGAAATATACCACTTAAATCTAATGTTTATTAATCCAAGAAAAACATACCTACAAGCTCAGTGAATCCCACATTGTCCTTTCTTCCATACCACTCATCCATAGCAAACTGCATCCTGCACCACTATCTTTGATTTCCTTGTCATCTGGAGGCAGTTGCCTTTTTTCTTAGTTCCTGCCATTAGTCCCTTCATGATGCGGTGACCTCCTGCATGTCTTTCACAATACTGTTTCCATAGTGTTGGGGGGTCTCAGACTCCTGCATCCCAGAAGGCTGCAGGCCATAGGTTTTTTTTGTTTGTTTTTTTTGTTAAAGCAGACTTCAACTGTAGACCAATTTAATGGCAACCAATGAAAGTTAATAACCTGAATTAGAGAGTGTGTTGAATTATGAATCCTAAAAGTGGTTTTTTTTCTTCTTTTTTTTACAGTGTTATCGTGGCACTAAAGCGCTTTTTGTTTTGTTTTTTTTCCCTTCTAGTGAAGTTTCAGATAGTGAAATAGCTCAGGAAATTCAAGAAAAGCTGGTGATTGAAGCAGAAAGCAGGCGCAAACAGGAGGAGAAAGATGAGGCAAGTGCATTTTTCTTTTTTCATTGGACTAAAAGAGTATTGGGGAAGAAATGGTGATGCCAGAGAGGATGAATCGGGTGCAGAATAAATGTGACCATTGACATTGGTGAATAATCAGATGTACAATCTGAGGAACAATCGGTGTAAGAACAGAGTAAAGAATGTATTTAATGGGTTCAAACAGCAGCTTCTGATGTGATGAAAGAACCAAATTCAGATCCATGGAGTCATAGGGTTGGCTCCCAGTGCAAAGGTCTTGGTTCAAGAGACTGACAGATTCTCATTTCCCAAGATACAAAGGGTAGAAACCTGAACTTTGGTCATGTGGATAGCCAAACACTGGTGCAAACCAAGCTGTAGGAAGAGTAGGATTAATTCCATGGAGAAACTCAATCCCACAGGGTTTTGTGCGATTGAAGTTTCTCTGTCCCATGGAAACACTGAGGATGACCTGCTAGCGCTCACAGAGCGCCTACCAGGAGTTTCACCAGATCAGCATACCACATCCATCTGGGCCAGTCTGGAGCAATAAGGGGTCACCAGAATGCCCTCTTTCTCAGTCCTATGAAGCAGGCGAGAAAGATATTTCAGGGATATAAAGGCATAGATTAGGGTGTAATATTCCCATGGAGTCACCAGCGCATCCACTGCTTATGCTATATGATCCCTGTACCTGGAGACAAGCCTGTCTGGTTTGGTAAACCTGGAGGCCATGAGATCACGCCTAATGTCCCCCCCACCTGTGGACATAATAGAACATCTGCAGGTCTATACACTATTTCCCAGGGTCCAGACTAGGTCTATACACTATTTTCCAGGGTCCAGACCTTGCTGGCTGAGGAAGTCTGCCTATCAGTTGTCTATGCCTGGGATGTACATGGCGGACCAGGCTGGAATGTGCGACATCAAGTTCCTCCATGATGATTGATGTATGCCATCGCCATTGCATTGTTTGACTGAAACTGGATCAGACAACCCTGCATCAGGATGATCCTGTACTGTAAAGACAGCCAAATGGCCCAAAGCTCCAGGATATTGATCGGAAGACAGGACATCTCCAATGACCAAATCCCGTGCACCTACAAGGTGTTTAGGACTCCTCCCCAGCCCAACAGGCTGGGATCCATTGTGTGGATCTTCCACAAGATAGAAGGAGGGTCTTCCCCAATTCCAAGGTCAGATTCCTGAGCCACCAAACCAGGGCGAAGCTGGTTCTTGAGCCAAACAAATCCTTCTGACCTGGGACTGGATTGACTTGTCCCATGGTGACAGAATGTCGCATTGTAGAGGTCTGTAGTGAAATTGGGAAAAAGAAACTACTTCAAAGGAGGCTGCCATCAGACTCAAGACTCTCGGTCAAAGAGTCAGATAACTCCTGGACTGGAGAGCTAAAAGTTAAGATCTGAGAGTCTGAAGTTTCTCTATCAGTAACTGGGATAAATCCTCTTATTTTTAAACTGAATGCTGCATGTAAACATATTTTTTTTTCTCCACAGACAATAACAAAAATATGTACAAAACCTTTTTTTCATGTTTTTTTTTTTTTTTTGGGGTGGTGGGGGAGCAATTGTTTTTCACAAAGGCTGTATTATAAGAAATGCAGCTGTTCATACACTAAAACATTGTGTTTTACTTTAACATCTATAATGTCGAAATAAATTGTGTGCTTGATTCTTGTGTGTTATTCCTATGTAGTCTGCTATATAGTATTTTGCTGCATGGGGCATTTTAACATCAGTGTAAAAAAAGAAAGAGAAAAAGGGGAGAAGGTGAGGTGTGAGTGCTGAAATGGCTGCCAGCAGATGCTTGATAACATAAATCTGCCCAGACAAGTAGAAACTTGCTTCCACATTGAGACTTTGAAGACAATTCCAGTTCGATTTTATAACTGGCAACCATTAAATTGAAGCATTGCTCTATCTGGCATCCCCCAGTCCTTCTATATTACAGTGAATTTTTGGCATGCTCATATTTCACTGTAATACATCATTGAAGTTATATGCCCTAAAGCAGTATCCTTTCCTGGATTGTTGCCAGGAACAGAAGATTTTCTGATGTGGTCTAAATGGAAAGCACCTACTCTGCAATTTGTAGTAATAAGGTGTCACCACTAATCATAAATACTTGCTCTAGCATTTGCTTTTAAAAATTGTAATAGAAGCTGAATGTTTGCCACCTAATTTTTCTTTGTAAACACACGCTTCATTTGGGGTTCTACATTTAGTAGATATGCATATCTCTTCATGTGGGTTTGTTTCTTCCCCTTTCCCCCTTTCCCCCTCTCCCTCTCCCCTCTTCCCCTGCTCCCTCTCCCCTTTCCCCTCTCTCCCTTTCCCCTCTCTCTCCCTTTCCCCTCTCTCCCTTTCCCCCCTCTCTCCCTTTCCCCCCCTCTCCCTTCCCCCCCCTCTCCCTTCCCCCCCCCCCCTTCCCCTCCCTTTCCCCTCTCTCCCTTTCCCCTCTCTCCCTTTCCCCTCTCTCCCTTTCCCCTCTCACTCCCTTTCCCCTCTCTCCCTTCTCCCCTCTCTCCCTTCTCCCCTCTCTCTCTTCTCCCCTCTCTCTCTTCTTCCCCCCTCTCCTCCCCTTTCCCCCCCCTCTCTCCCTTTCCCCCCCCTCTCTCTCCTTCCCCCCCTCTCTCTCTTCCCCCCTCTCTCTCTTCCCCCCTCTCTCTCTCCTCCTTCCCCCCCTCTCTCTCTTCCCCCCTCCTCTCTTTTCCCCCCTCTCTCTCTTCCCCCCTCTCTCTCTTCCCCCCTCTCTCTCTTCCCCTCCTCTCTCTCTCTTCCCCCTCTCTCTCTCTCTCTTCCCCCCCCTCTCTCTCTTCCCCCCTCTCTCTCTCCTCTTCCCCCCCCTCTCTCTCTCTCTTCCCCCCTCTCCTCCCCCCCTCTCTCTCTCTCTTCCCCCCTCTCTCTCACTCTCTCTCTTCCCCCCCTCTCTCTCTCTTCCCTCCCCCCCTCTCTCTCTCTCTTCCCCCCCTCTCTCTCTCTCGTTTTCCCCCCTCTCTCTCTCTTCCCCCCCCCTCTCTCTCTCTTCCCCCCTCTCTCTCTCTTCCCCCCTCATCTCTCTCTCTTCCCCCCCCTCTCTCTCTCTTCCCCCCCCTCTCTCTCTCATCTTCCCCCCTCTCTCTCTCTTCCCCCTCTCTCTCTCTCTCCTCTTCCCCCCCTCTCTCTCTCTCTCTCCCCCTCTCTCTCTCTCTTCCCCCCTCTCTCTCTCTCCCCCCCCCTCTCTCTCTCTCTCTTCCCCCTCTCTCTCTCTCTCTTCCCCCCTCTCTCTCTCTTCCCCCCCTCTCTCTCTCTTTCCCCCCTCCTCTCTCTCGTCTCCCCCCCTCCTCTCTCTTCTTCTTCCCCCCCCCTCTCTCTCTTCCCCCCCCCTCTCTCTCTCTTCCCCCCCTCCCTCTCTCTCTTCCCCCCCCCCTCTCTCTCTCTCTTCCCCCCTCTCTCTCTTCCCCCCCTCTCTCTCTCTTCCCCCCCTCTCTCTTCCTCCTCTCTCTCTTCCCCCCCCCTCTCTCTCTTCCCCCCCCTCTCTCTTCCCCCCCTCTCTTCCCCTCTCTCTCTCTCTTCCCCTCCCCTCCTCCTCTCTCTCTCACCCCCCCCCTCTCTCTTTCTCCTTCTCTCTCTCTTTCTCCTTCTTCTCTCCTTCCCCTTCTCTCTCTTTCTCCTCCTTCTTCTCCTTCCCCTTCTCTCTCTTTCTCCTTCTTCTCCTTCCCCTTCTCTCTCTTCTCCTTCTCTCTCTCTTTCTCCTTCATCCT